TTAGATCTTTTTCAATATGCCAAACAGTTTTTATTAACATTCATTTCAAATCCTAAAGGCTGTTCTCTTTCACTATGACAGTAACCCTCATAACTTGCTATTTGCAGATACTTGCATGAACAGGTTTTTGTTCACAAGAATGTTTAGAGAATAATTGTTCTCCATACAAATACTCAGGTTTATATGAAATCAAGTGTATGTGCTATTTTTTTTTAAAAATGTAGTCACCCAACTTCGGAGCAAAAACAGTAACATATGACTTAGGTCACACAATAATTAACAACAAAGCAAAGAGTTCAAATGAACACTTTACAAACATGAGGCAGTTTATTTGAACAAATTTCAATCTGGAAAATATTTGCAAATGGAGCTTGTCAAATAATGGAAACAAATTTGTGGTGCTATTCCAAAATAAACCACAAAAAATCAGTCATGGAGTGAGAATATTTGTTTTGGAACTGTGTATTGCTGTGTGTTGTGTACTGTGAATATTTGTGTGACTTCTGAAAGAGTTTTACAAAAATGTTTGTGAATCTCAAAAATATATCATTCATTATTCATGGTTTGTGTTTGCTATTTCTTATTATCTCTTCTATTAAAAAGGTTCAGGCATCCAATGAGGGTGCAAAAATTCACCATGTGACCGCATCCAAACAATGCTTTCCATCCCTTATATAGCACTTCAACATCAAGAAGTCCTTCTATTATCAGTAAGCATTGCCAAATGTTTTGCTACAGTACTGCTGCTGCCATTTTGTAGGCATTCATCCATCTCAGGACAGAGATAGAGGAACTAATCATCTGGTAATGATACCTTAGAAGCTTATTATGAACTTCATGAATCAGTAGCAAAATGTACTGTATTCCACTAGTCATAGCCTCCAGATGCCTTTGCTTTACTGCCTGTCTCAGGATTTCATAAATGTGGCCATGATGGAAGTATTCATGTATGACTGCACATGGCGCTGTTCTCTGCTTTCAAAGGAGTGGAAAAGAAAGCTTCCATCAGTTCTACCTTAACTGACTCGTGGACATTTTCCCTTTGGAAACATTGCTTTTTAACAAAGGATGTCACTGACAGTGTAAAGGCCTTCCCTCAACCTTACTGAGGATGAAATGATGTCTCCTGATAAGATATAGGACTTGCTAAAATACCCTTAGAAGTAAATGTTAAAACTCTCATTGACTATAAAAGGAGCAGTTCCACAGTATGTGACCTTCTCTTTGCTGAGGCTATTTCAAGCATCTTTCCTCCTCCTACTCTATCTGTTCCATTAACAGAATCTTTGAATAGTGAACTTTCCCGCCTCCTATAAGACACAGTCCACACACCCCTATGCAGGACCAAGTTTTGGCTTTCTTGGTGTTAAACTTAACTAACCAACAGGTGAACTTTAGACAATGTAAAGTCCACTCTGTACAGTACCTTGGTGTGAGGCTACTCCTACAGTTCCTAACTGGAGCCTTCTAAGCCCACATCAACAGACTCTCTGCACTAAACCCAAGAACCCTCTCTTAGGGAAGCCCAGCCCTCAAACTTACTTCTTTTTTTCTCCTTTGTTTTTCCCCTACAGCTTGAGTGCCTCCTTCCAGGCTTAATGCTGCTGCTATGTCTTGCAGGCTGCGGGGGTCAGCTGCAACCTATCTCCAGGACTGTTAGTCCCTTCCTGCACTAGTCTAGTGGAGGTTTGTCCACTCTGTCACAGAGGTAAATAGGAATCTTACAAACATGCTAAACAGCTGAATGATATAGGTAATAGAACCTACATTAGAGGGATTCACAATAGGTTCTTTCAGTTAGCGATTCGTCCAGCATAACTCAGAAATTTTGCCCAGTCTGCATACGTCTCAGGATATGTTTCTCTGGAATATCTTCACATAGGGACAGAGTCAACCCTGGTTTATTGATTTCAATAAAGATACACTAGGGATACATTTGACTAATAGCCCTGATATTAAGATATTACTATCAAAATATTCAAGTGTGAATTCTTAAAATTAGGCACCTATATCCATATTTAGGCATCTAAGTATAAGTAGACAGCTTTTCAAAGGAACTGAGCATCTGCAGCTCTTATTTTCTTCAATGAGACCTGGGGTGCTCAATGCTGAAAAAAATCAGAGTTTTATTCAGGTGCCTACGTTTAGGCATAGAAGTGTGAAATTCTAGTCTGTAGGGGTAAATTTTTCAAAAGCATCCAAATGACTTTTGAGAAATCCAATTTCCAAAAGTAGATAGGAGAGAGACAATAAGACTTAAAACTCCTAAATGTCTAAGGGCTGGTCTCCACTACTGGAGAGATCAATGCTGCTGCAATTGATGCAGTAGGGATCGATTTAATAGATCCAGTGAAGACCTGCTAAATGATAGCAGAGTGCTCTCTGGTCAACCCCAGTACTCCAGCTCTCCAAGAAAAGTAAAACAAGTCGACTGGAGAGCATCTCCCATCAACTCAGCATCATGAAGATACCATGGTAAGTCGACCTAAGCTATGCTGATTCAAGCTACGTTATTCACATAGCTGGAGTAGTGTAACTTAGTTCGACTTATCCCCATAGTGAAGATAAGCCCTAAGTCTCTTGAAAATGGACTTAGGCTCTAAATCACTTAGGCACTTATGAAAATATTCCCTAGGTCTTCTGAATAAGGACTCAATTCTGTCCTCAGATACATCTGTGCAATTTCCACTGACTTCAGTGGGATTATCAGAAGTGAATGCCAGGAAAAAACCTCAGCCCTAAATATAGTACACAATAGTACTCTCTAGTGTCTCACTGTAGTGCAATTGTTCTCCTCAATCAGGACTGCAATGGCAAAAAGATTTAAAAATGAAAATCCAGATGCTTTCACTGCATAGTTGGCCTTCTTCATTCAAAAGGGTTATAAATCTCCAGCTTGCAACAAAGAGTGAACAATTCAGTCTTCTTCTACACAGCACTGTTCCTCAGACGTTCTTGTTAACTCCTGGAAATGTGCTGGAAATGGCCCACCTTGATTATCACCTCAAAAGGTTTTCTCTCCCCCCACCCCACTCTCCTGCTGGTAATAGCTCATTTTAAGTGATCACTCTCCTTACAATATGTATGATAAACTACCATTTTTTCATGGTCTGTGTGTATATAAATCTCCTCACTGTATTTTCCACTGAATGCATCCGATGAAGTGAGCTGTAGCTCACAAAAGCTTATGCTCAAATAAATTGGTTAGTCTCTAAGGTGCCACAAGTACTCCTTTTCTTTTTGCAAATACAGACTAACACGGCTGCTACTCTGAAAACAGCACATATAGTAATACATATGCTATTCTGCCTTCATGATTGTCACAGATGCCCTAACCACCCCTCAGCAAACTAGACCTATTTTCCCACACACTCCAGTGTGGCATGCTGGGAATTCTGAGACAGATTCAGGTACATTTTAAATAGGAGGGTTTTACTGAATTAAATATGAAAAATGATTAATAAAATTAATACACTACTGCTTGTGTTACTTATTTTGATGTTAAATTTAATTGTCTAAGCGTTTGGGTTTCTCTCCTAATCAAATCCAGAATTCTGACTACTCTCACTAATACTTAGGGCAGGTCTACACTACTAAGGCTGAGTCAACCTAAGTTATGCAACTCTAGCTACATGAATAACATAGCTAGAGTCAATGTATGTTAGGTCATCTTATTTTGGTGTCTACATTGTGCTGGATTGACGGGAGGAACTCTCCCGTTGATTTACCTTATGCTTCTCATTCTGGTGGAGTCCTGGAATCGATGGGAGAGCGATCAGTGATCGATTTCGTGGGTCTCCACTAGATTCACTAGACCCACTGAGATTCACTAGACCCACTAAATCGACCCCTGGTGGATCGATTGCCGCACATCCATCCCCTGGTAAGTGGAGACAAACCCTTACTGACCTTTTTTACACTTATGTCCCCTTGGTGAACTCAGTAGGGTGGCACATGGGTAACTGCAAGCAGCATTTGACCCTTTCCTTTTTATTTTATCTACTCGTTATTTATTCATGTGCCTTAGAGATAGGTACAGTATAAGAACATAGATAAACAGACTGGTAGATCCAAACTGCCTAATTTCTCCAGGGTTCATAGATTAGGATCACAGTTTCCATTTGAGCCTGCTACTGAAAGCTGGGTAGCACCTGAGGCTCCTGCTGACATTTTTGAGAGTTGCATCTGTTTGACTCTTTTTATGAATAGGCATTTAATCCTGATGCTTTCTGACTCAACTAGTATTTTATTTTACCTTAAATGGAACATATATTTGTGGCTTTCACATTTCTGACATTTGTTTGTTTAAAGATTAATAGATTACATTTGGTCAGATGAGGAATCAAAAATACCTAATTTAGAAGGAGGGGAATTTGAAGCCATTCTTTTGCTATTTTTTGTTTGAGTGTTATAGTTTCTGACCTTAATTTCAGGAGTGTATGCACCACTCCCTGCTAACGTCTAAGCAGAAAACTGGAAGCCATGATCATATAAAGAATACAAGGATTATCTCTGAAAAATATGTGATGAATATTTAGATAATATGAACAGCTTTGATGGGATTGTTAGTCACAAATGAATAACTCTTTAATACATCATTAATATCTGTCAATGAATTCTGTCATCCTGCCCCGGTCATTCTCTCACGGCCCTACATGCAGCTGCTCAAAAATCTCTTCCTGAACTGTTCGGGTCAGAATTATACAATAATCATCAGAGTTTTCTAGAACAACAACAATGCAGATCAAAAGGAATGATTTCAAAGCAGTAGCTTTGTGGATTCTAAAGTAGTATCTCCAGAGGAAGCTCGAACCAGTGAATCAGTACCATATTTTATGAGGCCCGAGGCAATATAATTAGCAAGCTTGGGAATGCCTTAATATATTTAACCAAAAGGTATTTAAGAGTCAGAGTTTAATGCCTACCCATGCTATAGACCAAAGGTAGTTTGTTTACACAGAGAAACTATAGGGGTGAAGTAAATGTCAAGAAAAACTTACAGTATGGGCAGCCGTAGACCTCAATTCTCAGCCCAATTTGGCCCTCTCCATTCCAATCCAGAGGAACTATGCGAATATAGCGGGCTATAACTGGATGCTGCAAATCATGCCGGATCACACTGTCAGAATTTGTATTTCCAGGAAATGCCTGAGGGGAGGAAAAAGAAACCTCTTGTAACATTAGATATATTTCAGATGCTGTAAGAATACTTCTGTGAGGGGAAAAAAATAGGAACAGCAGTCTGATTATTTAGGTTAAACTGCATTCTGGTCAACTTGTCTCTATGATAGTGATTGAATTAATGGATGATTCAATAAACAGCACTGGCAGTTCTACAATGCTCATGAAAGATGCCAGATATAGGTCACTGGAAGCTAATGTCCTCTTTCTCCTAATAGGTATAGTATGCCTTGTTCTTGATTGAGTGAATCACCACTAAGGGTGAGAAAGTAGTTCATTCTGTGTGTCTATCTAGTTTTTAGCTAGTTTGTTAGAATGTAAATAAGTGTCCCAATTGTAGTGACTGTTTTTCTAATGAAGACACTTATTCACTAATAACTAGACTGAACACACCAACTCTTTTTTGCATAGATGGAAATAATTTTAGTTATTAGTGACTTGGGAGAGATTTGAACAGATGAACAGTGAAATGCTCTATCTCATTCCCTTGAGCCATACTGTTCCCCATTTCAGCTTTATGCTTATATAGTAGAATTTAACATATTTCTGCAGGAGCCAGAAATCATACCTTAACTTTGAAGTCTCACCTGTAGGGAAACATGTAATCTTCACAATCAACACCTCATGCTAAACGACGTGTGCAATTAGGTATTTTGGAAATTGTGCTAATCATCATAATCTTAGCTCTTATTCGCAGTGAGAAGTATTTTTTTCCAATTACTAAGAACTCAGAGAAGGATGCAATAGTTCTCAAGTGTACTAACTTTTCTAGAATTAATGAAGTTAACACATCTAGTTTATTTTAGTTACTTCTTGGCATGATGATTCACAGCATCTAGCTCAACAGAAAACAATACCTGCTTGTTAACTCAACTTACATATTGTCTATCTAGTCAGCCCTTGGACAGTCTGTTCATTCACAGCCAGAACTTCACATAGGCAGAACTTTATCATCTTTCTTGTAGCTAGCTTTCACGGGAGATAAACATGTCAAGCTACTGAACAGGGCAGTAGTACACCAAGGGGAAATGGATAGCTAATTGTCAAAAAGACTATAAACAGTCATTGTAAGTACATTCTTATAAAATTCAGCCACTGCAGCTTTTGCTAGAGAAAAACCTGTGTCCAAAGATTCAGAAGTAATTCAGTATTAATGAATAGGCCTATATTTTAGTTATTCATATCAATCAGAACACATTCGCTCATTTAAAATAGTCTATTGTACATATTGCTATAGACTGTAATATACTTAGGGCTAGAATATACAAAACACACAGTGCCCAGAATAAGGTGCTATGGGGGCCCCCATCATCCCTGAGGTAGTTACAGGAGAAGAATCCCTCCCCAAGATTCCCACCATGCTAGGAGAGCATTTATGCTTCTACACCCCTTGTATGCCAGTTCCATTCTATGCTTGGCCATGTCCCAGGCCTCTCCCTGCATCCATTGGGCTGGACTGTGCTTCCCATGCAGGGATCACTCCTCTCAGAGTAAATTCAGTTACCACAATTATGGAAGACTCCTACTGGGGAAGCATAAGGAGAGGAAGTCTTCTCTTTCATACTAGTACCAAGCAGAATCTGGTCCGCGTTGTTTCTGGCTTGGTTTTTTCCTTCTGAAGTTTAGTGTTTATTTATGTAAATTATGACCCACTTTAAAGCTGAATCTTTCTGTTTTTTTTTATTTACAGAAAATTATTTCAAAAGCAGGTGTCACTGTTTTTGGTATTTCTTCACCCACCTGCAATTTGCACCAGGAAAGATTTTAAACATCAAAACTTCTTTGAGACAATTACCTCCACTTCTAGAAATAGTATTAGATGTCTAGTATGTATGAATTAATCACGGTTTCAAGGACAGAAACACAAAAGTTGAAATTCTCCACAAATTTCAAAACAGCTACAGTTGGTTCTTTTCCATAATCATTTAAAAAAAGAACACTGTATAGCTTCTGGATAGTTTTATTCCTTCTTCTTGACTAACAAATAAATAAAATTAGAAACCTTAAGCATATAGTTGTCACGATTAAAAAGGAAACATTGATCAGTGGTCAACAGGACATTCAAAGATTTCACCCCAAATGTATTTATTGATTACTATACGCAGGGCTTGTAATGATGCCTATTATTAAGGTTGCCTGACCCTTCCCATTATAAGATCCGGTCTTAAATTATTTGCAGCTTTGCAAACTAACCATTGAGATCACACAACATGCTGGGCTTCTGCCTGAGGCTGACTTTTTTTTTTAATTTTTTGCCAGCCAAAATGGTTCAGTCATTTCCAAGAATAAGTCTACAGAAAAACACACATTGTTTGCCCATGTTAAAATATACTGGCAACCTTTTATTTGAAAAGCTCTAACACGTCATGCTTTGGAGCAAGGACTTGAAATTTGGCCTTTGTGTCAGACATGTGCCTTTTGCTGCCCCTGAAAATCCACCTACATTTGGCCAAGATATCAGCCTCTGAAAAATTGCAGTTTGCACCTGCTCAGTAGAGACGTTAGATTTTAGCACGTAAAATTGAAAGATCCCTCCTCCCTGAGCATGCTCTAGCCTCTCTCAACTCCTAATGCTGATCAGACTGCAAAATTGCCATCCCCACAAAGCAAATGAGCATGCTTTATCCCCTCAGAGGTCCTACTTGTTAGCAGCATGTGCTGGCAACATCTCCACAGAGTGACTGAACGTGCTGCAATCCTTGGCTACGGGGACAATGCCAGACTCTCTCTCTCTCTAATGGCTGTTCCAGGCCTAGGTGAAGCTGGGCACTGAAACTGTGAGCAGGCAGCCTCTCTCTCTCCTGTGCTCCCAGTAACCCACTACTTGGCACCCAAGTAGCAAGAAGGAGGAGGAAGCCATCTGCTTTCAATTCAAATGAGACACAAAGTGGACCAGGGAAGAGGGAAAGCAGACTGGGACAAGAAGTCTGATGAGACTGGAAGTGGGGAGAGAGAACTGTACGCCTGTATCTGGCTATAGAAAACAATGCATAGGGAGTTGGGGCAGAGGGGATGCTTGGACTGGTATCTGGGGGGTAGGAGAGGCTGGGACTGGTTGGTCAAGAAAACTGGGGCTAGGAGTTGGGCAGGGAAATGGGCAAGGGATAGAGCCAGTTGTTAGGGGAAGGGAACACTGAGATCAGATGAAGAGCTGGGAGCAAGAGGGATGGCTGGTACTAGGAACCCTGGGACAGAACAGGGGGAGGAGAGATTGATCTCGCAAGAGATGGGGCAGAGGGAGAACTAGAAAAAGGAGCCAGAGATGGAGTGTGGTTTTGGGGGGAGAGGGGGGAGATGAAGATTGAATGAGGATCATGTGGCGGGAGACTAGGACTGGAAGCCAGTAGGGTTGGGGAAAAGAAAGATTGCATGAGGTATTTGGGGAGGAAACTGGAACTGGCTGGGCAAAGATACTGGGACTGGGTATGGGGAGGAGAGGTATGGGAGTGTGGGGATGAGATTGGGACTCGTACAGCGAGCCCACAAGGGGAGACTGGGACTGGCTGGCCCAAGTGCCTGGGATTAGGAAGAGAATCTTGGGAATGGAGGCTTGGAAGGCTAGGAGAGTGGGACTAGGGAACAGACAGTGCTGGGATAGGGACAAATTGGATGTGATCAGACAGAAGAGTCTAGGTTTGGGGAATGGGTAGAAGAGTCTCTGCCCACTGGAACACTCACCTCCAGAGCCTAGAATGGAGCCCAACTTTCCTGAGTCTTGTCATTCATCTGCTGTGAGTAAATATCTGTGAAACCCCTGGCAGTGTCTCATCCACCTCTAGCGCTGGTCCACATACAAGCTTTAAGTTGCTCCATTAGCTAAAGTTGCAGAAGTCTGGGCAGTGGATCTAAAGGTTCCCACCCTACTGATGATCCATGTGGGTATCAATATGACATCTCATGTTGGAAATTTCCATTTGCTTTTTAAAAGCCCCAGAAATTACCCACCCAAAACTTTTTAAACAGACCATTAAAATCACAAAGCCCAACTTTAGGAAATGCCAAGATTAAGGTTGCTCATAAAACCTTATTTCAGCCCCCTTGTATGTATGTCTTATGATAGAGTCTCTAATTAAATGGTCACATGCTATTTTTTCCACAAGACCCCTGCCTCATTTGGTGCACCCGATGGACCTGCTCTGGGGATGAATCAAGGTCATATAGTGAAACGACTCTGTTGTTGATAAGCACTCCTGCCTCATTTGTTGGAGAAGTTGGAAGGTAAACAATGAATGAGGCAGAGGACTGCTGGAAGAGAAAGAACAGTTACATGGTTAAGGCACTTGAATGCTGCCTCAGACCATTTGGATTCAACAAGAATATAAGAGCTGCCATACTGGATCAGACCAAAGTACTGAGCAATCACAGCTGCAACTGAAGTCGATAAGAGCTTGTGCCACAGAAAACTCATGAGTAAATTAATAGTTCAGTCTTCAAACAAGGGTTTGGATAACATGCACTAAATCAGGAATAGGGCCAAACATTGAACAATGAGGTGAAAACAAAATATTCAATGGCTGATCATTAAGTGAGTGCTGTGCATTCTGTGCACTGAATAAGGCAAGGGTCCTGTGGGGAAAAAATAGTATATGATCATGTAATTAAAGACTGTGTCACCATGAATACGTACATGGGGGTTGTATTAAGGCTGGGTGGGCAATCTTAATTCTGTTATTTCCTAACTTCAAAGTTCTTAGGGTGACCAGATGTCCCGATTTTATAGGGACAGTCTCGATTTTTGGGTCTTTTTCTTGTGTAGGCTCCTATTACCCCCCACGCTCATCCCAATTTTTCACATTTGCTGTCTGGTCACCCTTGGAGTTCTTGACTTTGCAACCTTGGCAATACTCTTTAAAGATAGTGCATTTCTGTATAATATAAAGTATAGTGGGAAAGCATAGACTCTCTAATATATCTCCATGAAACCACTGGTAAAAGCTGACTTTTAAAATCAGAGCTACTGAATGTGA